TAAAATACCAATGAAGTTGTAGCGTGGGGGACTTATCCTGAGACGCCAAAGATTTTCCAAGTTCAATTTGGGTATATAACCTTCTTTTAACATGTTTATATATATGTGCATAAATTGTGATTTTTGATTTAGTGTTCGAACGCCAATTCACATTCGAAAGCCAAGCCTCTGCAGGACATTAAAAGTACTGGGAGCACCCGACGTTCGAACGCTTTATGAACATTTGAACTAGGACCCAATGTTCGAATGCCAGGAGCTTACAATACTTTGGCCTCTACAAGACATCAAAAGTACTGGGAGCAACTGTCATTCAAACGACAGTATAACGTTCGAACCTTCTTTTTAAATTCCTTCTATCCGCATTCGAACATCAGTAACGTTCTAATGTTGGCTGCTTGGGTATAAATACTTGATTCATCTTCTCCATTTCAAAACCACCCAAAGCCCCTCAAGTTCTTCAAACCCTAGGGTGATTCTTCACTTCCCAAGCCTCAAACCTTCATCCCCTCTCAATTTCTACCAAAAATCCACCATCCCAAACACATTCCCACCTCATTTCTCACATTTTTTACCAAGAAATCCAAGCTTTCTTGCCCTCAAAACCCCAAAAATCCAAAACAAAATGCCTCAAAGAATGAAGATGACCACTAGGCTCAAGGTGGCCAACCAAGAGCCCAACATTGTGGAAGAAGTAATTTAGCAAAGGGAAGAAAGGCCACCTGTGGTCTGAAGGTACAATCGCACTCGATTCCCAACACTCTAAAGGTCGATAGGTACGATAATTTCTTTCAAAATCAAGTATTTTTTTGTGAACGTACCATTGAGTAGTTAGATTTTGTGGAGTTGGGGCTTTATGAAAACATGGAGGTGAGAGGTTGGACAATGTATTTGAGAAATAGTGGAGAAGCGGTGAAGGAGTTGGTGACGAAGTTGTACTCCAACGTCGAGATTGTGAATAGGGCGATTAAGACATATGTGAAAGGGGCTCACATCTATGTCAATGAGGATTACATTGTGGATATGAGGGTCGTACCACAGGTACCAAGGTCGAGCTACCCCTCGAGGAGGAATGTAGAGATGGATGTGATCGGTGTTGAGTTGACAGTCTTGTCAACGTTTGCTTAGGGGGGAAGGAGATTCTTTAGGCAAGGGGAGTTGACAGATAAATATAGAATGCTCAACTTGATTGTCGTCTTGAACCTTCCCATTGGATGTAAGAACAAGATTCTCCAGGAGATGGGCCGATTGCTATACGCAATAGGCAAGGGCCAAAGCATAGACCTCTTGTCTTTGATTTTGATTGAGATGCTGAAGGGGTGTGATATAAAGAGAAATTCATTCCCCTTCGGTACACTTGTGATGGAGATGTGCTTGGACTACGGAGTGAAGGTGAGACCGGAGATGGCAGTGTTTAAGCCAATGGGACTGTTGAACAAGGCATCATTCCGAAGGAGGCAGGGTCACAACGGAGAGCCAACAGTGAGACAAGATGTGCCTCCATCCCAAGGCACCGATGAAGTTCAGGATGCCTTGGACACTAAAGAGGAGGTCGAGGAGGCCCACGAGCAGACATAGGTAGAGGCTCAGGCATGGACCAGCACCAACACCTGACGGACACTACGGGACATCATACTTGGCATCGAGACCAAGCAAGATGAGATTCTCCAATAATAGGAAGAGATTCTCAGTCTTTTGAGGGGAGGAGCTGGAGGACCCTTAGGCTCTGGAGAGGTGAGAGAGTGATAGAGATTTCTATGGTTGAGTTTGATGATTGGTTATTGTTTTTGGATGATCTAAATCTTTTTTTGTGATGAACTATGATACTTTCATGAAATGAATGATTTAGTTTTATTATATTTATCTTCTTTAATGCATGTGTTAGACTTAACATTACAATGTTATTTGTTAATGATTGATGGAACATATGTAAATATTGAGATTGTTTGCTAAAGTGACCAAGCACCTGATCGATTTGACACCTCTTCTAACAATCCAGACTTAAAATCACGCTTTCTTGAAAAGTGGTATTTTCTCTATGTTTAAATGTCAAATGTACATTGGTATTTGTTATTCTTGAGGTACAGAATGACCACACTCGAAAATGGAATTGAGATATAACCGACATTCTTTGAAAACCTAACATAACCAGTGGTGATAATGAAGAATAGCATGGTAAGTTTTCGAGCCATGTGATGCTTTTGAGAGAAAATCAACATTTACTTAAGTACGGTTTTTCACTTTCTATTCTTAAATAATCTCATTAAAATTGTTATTGATTGACACAACTAGAGCAATCTATTGACATATCCCACAAAGAATCTGTTCATACGACACATACATGTGCACATGTTTAAGAAATAATTTTCGGCCATCTGATAAAAAATTTGAGCCATAGCCATTTCTTTTACAAAATTATATTTCTAGTCAGCCGTGATTAAGACTTTAATGTGTGATTTCTTTTTCATGTAATCCATATGATAATCGAGTCACAGGAAGATATATTTGACATACCTTTGCTATCTAATTTTCTTGCACCCTCTTATAAATCAGTATGATACAAAAAAGCAAGAGAAAAAGAAAAGAAGATGGTGGCTACTGTTCAAAGAAAGAAAAGTCGGTGGAAACAACTAAAAAAGAAAGAGAAAGAAAAACCAAAAATGGCCAAGAAAGTGAAAAAAAATAAGAAAAAGAATGAAAGAAAGAAATACCATGTAAGTGAAGTTTCAAAAAGTTAGAATACCATGATAGCTTTGGAATACCACTGATGTCATTTCGTTAGCCACTGACCCCTGGCCACATTACAACCTGCAAAAAGCCCTAATTGATCTCAAGTTTGTTGCATGTGTGGGTCGTCAACGAAAATTTTGAGGTATATTGATAGTATTACATTATTTGTATCAATATTTTTCCATGAGATTATGTCAAATATGTTTAGTTTGTTTCCTTATATTTCACTCCCATAATAGTTGTGCATGTGAATTTACAATTAACCTTCTTCAGATCACATCCCCTTTGAGAGAAAAGTCACTATAATCGGAGGTAATTTTTGTAGAGAGCATTCTAAGAAAGGTTTGTGGAATCAAAGCTATCCATGGAAGGTTGTAAAAAAGAATGCTTGTTATCTAATAATTCTTGTTGCTAGAATGATTATTCCACATAGAGAATTTCAAATACCAATCTAACAAATGTTTATTTTTGCACAGAGTCTATACCTATGAAAGAGAAGTGTTCGGGAGATAAGTCGAAATTGAGTGTTGGGTGTCTTAACGACCATAGTGCTAACTCACTTTAACAAGTAATCTCACATACACACATCTATTCTACTGAAGTTTGTGGGTAACTTCACTTAAAAGACTCACGAGACAACACTCGTCCACTAGGAAAAATCTAGGGGTTTAATGGCTTGTTGCATGTGCTAAATACAACTGAATGACCTACGAAAATGGCATTGTAAATAATTTTTCATTCAATTTGTATTGTATTACTCGAAACTAGCAATATTTAGGTTGGGGGGGGGTATGATGAAGAGTTAAAATTAGCATCTTACTATGCTTTTACAAGACTAATTATTCTTTGATGGAGTTTAAATAATGACATTTTAAGAAAAAGTTGTACAAAAGCCTAAAGTCAATGAATACCAAACTTGCAAGCAACAACCCCGTGTTTTGGAAGAGAATTGAAGAAGGTGGAAGCAAAGCTACCACGTTCGAATACCAATCCACGTTCGAACATCATCCTAAATTATTTGAGGGCCCCCAGATCATTACTCGGGTGATGGCACATGGTGTGTTGCAGCTATTCCCTGAGAAGAAAAACAAAGAGTCACTTGAGTACCACGTTCAAATGCCAATACACGTTCGAACATTGGCTTGCATTATTTGAGGACCTCCAGAAGACTTCAATTGTTGGAGCATCTAGGGGGAGCTTGACATACATAGAGGGATACATAGAGAGCTTTTGGTTGAGGAGGAAACCCTCCAAAAGTAACTAGTTTTCTTCTACTTTCATTGTTAGTTTCATTAGTTTTCATTGTTTAAGTTTCCTTCTTCCCTTAGAGGAGTAAAACTCTTCCATTTTTCTAGCTTTACCAAAGCCATGAAAGGTGGAAAGTGATTCACTCATTCTTCTTTGAAGATCGACACGTTGTGTAGTGTATTTTACCTTATAACTCCTCTACTTGGAGGGATGAGAATCACTCACTTTTCTAACTTTCTCAAAGCTACGAAGAGTGAATAGTTTTTCATTCACTCTTTAATAAGAGGTAATGGACATGTATAAATCATTTGAAAGTTATATTGGTGCATTTCGTTTATACTTAATTCTTTATCTTTTACTTGCTTGTTGAATGATTGAATGCATCTAACAAAAGTAAAGTACTTTGTACAACCATGAGTCCACTGGTGAGATCATGAAGCTCCTGAACTGTGGTCGTTACTCCTTCCAGAAACAAACCTAATTAGACTAGTATAACAGTTAACCACCCAATTCAATATAAACTCCAAAATTCCAACCTCCAAATTCAAAATAAAAAGGTTAATGGATACCCCATTTCACCGCTCCTTTCGGTGTATATTAAAAAAGTTGTTGCTCTCGCAACCAAAGTCACATGGTTGCCTTGAGTAGAAGTCAAACATCCATTATGAATCCTACTTGCTCTTTTGCATGTTTGATTTTAGAAATGTAGTCAACTCAATTCTTATAGGCCTACGAGATTTCTCTTTCGGAGGTTCTCCTGCTGTACCCGATCCACTCAAAGTAAACCCAACAACAAACGCGTTTGAAGCAGCAAAGTTTGAAACTAGTTAACACCATGCACACACAGTTCACATACTCTCTCTCTCACACACACACACACACTGAGAAACTAGTTTACTTGTCTATAAATGGAGAATTCAGCAAGAGAAATGTCACCCAATCCAAATTTTTAGAATTTTAGCAAGCTCATTAGGATTCTACGCTCCTTAATGGCCTCCCTTAAAAACCTCTTGGTTACCCTCTCCATGGTGTCACTTCTGGCATGTTTTGCCAATGCGCAGCTTTCACCGAATTTTTATGCCTCTACGTGCCCTAATCTCCAACTCATTGTGCGTAACGCAATGAGGGAAGCGATTAACAGAGATCTGCGCCTTGGAGCCTCTATCCTCCGCTTGTTCTTCCATGACTGCTTCGTAAATGTAGGATTGTACCTGCATTTTGACGGTTGAGTCTAGTTTCTTCATTAAAGAAGTTTAAAAGTTTATGAAAAATTATATAATTATAAGTTATTATACTCTTAAGACTTGTATAGTACAATAATTTTTTGCTTTACACTAAGATTGTACAACATTAAAACCATATGTAAAGTCTCCGACTATATGATTTAGAATATTATAAGAGGTATGTCCAAATGTAACCCATAGCTTCTCCTATCGTGTAATATTGTTTATCATTTTCGTTTGAGAGCTGCAGGGTTGTGATGCATCGATACTTTTGGACGACACCGCAACTTTCACAGGCGAAAAAAATGCAGGCCCAAACCGAAATTCAGCAAGAGGTTTTGATGTGATTGACACCATTAAAACACGGGTTGAAGCCGCTTGTAGTGGCAGAGTATCTTGTGCAGACATCCTGGCGCTTGCAGCACGAGATGGAGTTGTCTTGGTGAGTAACAAGTCAAGTTTCTACTTCATTAGTAGCTATAATCCACGCATGCATGTTTGTCTATACCACATATATTATAATATATACATATTAGTCATAACCAGCTTCAAGACATGATTTAACGTAAAATTCAAGTGACAAGAAAATCGATCTCATTATATCAAGTTTCAATTTTTCATTTTTCTCTGTCATTAATTACACCCCTACAAAAATGGACACAAAGACAGAACGACTATTTATTATGATGTATTGGATTGTACTTGACAAGTATGAAAAATAAATATCTTTATACTTAATCTTGGATTAGCTGGGAGGACCTACATGGGCAGTCCCGTTGGGCCGAAGAGACGCAAGAACAGCGAGCCAGAGTGCCGCTAATAGCCAAATTCCATCGCCATTCTCTAGCCTCTCAACCCTAATCTCCACCTTTGCGGCTAAAGGCCTGAATGCTCGTGATATGACTGCGCTCTCTGGTGGCCACACCATCGGCTTTGCACAGTGTTTTACGTTCAGAAGCCGTATATATAATGACACGAACATTGCCCCAATGTTTGCAGCCAATCGCAGGGGCGTCTGCCCAGCTTCAGGTGGGAATTCGAACTTGGCCCCCCTTGATATACAAAGCCCTAACCGGTTCGGCAACGCCTACTACCAGAACCTTGTGAGTCAACGTGGGCTTCTCCATTCAGACCAAGAGCTTTTCAATGGTGGATCACAAGATGCATTGGTTAGGCTTTACAGCACTAATCTCACTGCTTTTTCCAATGACTTTGCTGCAGCCATGGTAAGAATGGGCAATATAAGGCCCCTTACTGGAACAAATGGAGAGATAAGAAGAAGATGCAGTGTGGTTAACTGATTTACTTTGGGGTTTTATTCGGATCATTGTGCTGGCTCTAGTTTCTTTCTTCATGTTTTCAATTACTGAATTGTGATAATAAGTGGCAAATTGAACCGAATAGTCCTTTCCTTTGGCTCAATATTGCATTTGCACAGGTCTCTCTCTTCCCCACCCCACGTGTGGGACATAAGCCCTCGTCTAACACAAAAACATCAAAAATATTGCAATAGTCTTAAGTCACATCTTCGTTCAAAAAAAATTCTTAAATCACATCAACTCATGCACTTTGTGACACAAAAATATCGCAATAGCCAAGTTGCATCAAAGCAAAAATGAGATAATAATTCTTCACACTAAGTCAAACAATGCAAGAAAAAAAATGTTACAATCAGTTCCTCTCAGCCGTTTCCCCATCCTCGAATTCAAAACCTCCACTTCTTCATTCCTTCCTCTTCCATTTGCAGCATCCTCTTCCTTCTGTCACTTCCTAGACGGTTCTTCACTCCCAGAATGCACAAAAATGTAATTAGAAGATGGATGAAAAGGAACATTAGACATAACACACATGGAACTCAATTCAAACTCGAGACTAAGGGTAGCAACTCTTACAAGATTTTAGTAGTACTATACAAAGAAAAAATAAACAGAAAATCAACTGAAATGATGTAACACTTCACTTAGAAAATTATACATGAGAACACTCTCCAATCTAATATACTTAGTGTTCCCATATTTTCAACCACGGCAAAAGAAAATAAGGATTAATTCAACTGCCTTTTACTCTATTGCATACGCTTTCCACCTCATTTTTCCTCAACATGAAGGTATGTTAAACTAACTATGATACCATAAAATGTTCTGCAAACTATTGTAGCTACTTAATTCTCCCCAGACCAATTTTCTTGAGTACTCCAAAACCCATTGACACAAAAGCTTCTGGTAGTCCCATTGACAATCTTTCCTTATATTGTACCAAGCAAGAAAGCTCTATTATGATGTCAAAGTGAACCAATCAAACAGCATTAATATTCCTAATGTCTAATCTTGGATGCTCCGTGACTCTTTTGAGAAATTTTCTAGAAAATGTAAGATACACAAGAAACTGTATCAATCTAATAAATGTAAACAAAAAAAAAAGAAAAAGAAACAAAGAACATCAAGAGAACATTGACCCAGCCGTAGGGCAGTGGAAAAAGGTGAACCGTGGTGGTGGCTATCGTGGAAACATAATGAATTGTCACCAATGATGTGATAATGAATTCATTTAATATTACAATGTGACTTACCATTAAATACATTTTACTATCATTTCATTGGTGACAACTCATTATGTCCCTAAATTATGTCCCAATAGCATTAGTGTAAAATAATTTGGATAACCCAATTTTGCATGCTTGTACACCCTCCCCCAAGAATTTGAATACCTAATAAAGAAGTTAATTGCATTTGCATGCTTATACGCCTTGCCTCCCACTTGCCAAAAAATAATAGCCCAATAATGTCTTCTATTTTTATGTCTCGCAACAAACAAATCAATGGTGTTGTGATCGTACAATAATTATGGTGAATTACAAGAAATCAAACAATTAAGAAAGCAAGAGAAAATAACACAGAGATTTACGCGGTTCGGCAATGTGCTTACATCCACAGGAACTAGCGGTTGTTCCTTTTCATTGTTCAAAGTAGGGTAACATCTTAAGTATTTATACAACCCTAATACGGACGTATTTACAAAAATACTCCGGTACCGTACCGCGGGGGCGTTGCCCCCGCACCCCCAACTAATCAGCGTCCCCTTTATACAAATCCCACAAGACATCTACCTCCTTGCCATTGTGCACACAGCAAATATGAGTCACACATACTCTAACAATCTTCACCTTCGCAAATATTCACCCCTTAAGAGAAAAAAATAAAAGAGGACATGTATTCAGGAACTCCATTGGGGACGCTAAGTTGAGGCATCTCTCATCTAGCAACTAGAGACATTAATCAAGTCCAAGCAGTGCTTGAACTTGTCTGTAGTAACAGGCTTTGTCAACATGTCTGCTGCATTCTCATAAGTGTGAACTTTCTCAAGTAATAGTTCACCAGAAGAAACTAGTTCCCTGATCTTATGAAACCTCACATCTATATGTTTGGTCCTCGCATGATACACTTGGTTCTTTACCAAATAAATGACACTCTGACTGTCATAATGCAACTGAACTCTACCTTGCTGGGCACCCAGCTCCTTGACTAAACTTGTAAGCCACAAAGCCTCCTTGGCAGCCTCAGCTACTGCCATATACTCTGGCTCAGTAGTAGATAATGCAACTATAGGCTGTACCATGGACTTCCAACAAATAGGTCCTCCCACAAGAGTAAACACATAACCTGTGGTAGACCTCCTGTCATCCAAGTCCCCTGCATAGTCTGCATCCACATATCCCATAACTGAAGGGTCACTCTATTATCTACTAAACATGATGTTATAGTCTGTAGTGCCCCTCAAGTATCTAAAAATCCACTTGACCGCATCCCAATACTGTCGACCCAGATTTGAAAGAAACTTGTTAACCACGCTGACAGCTTGTGCCAAATCTGGTCTTGTATAAACCATATCATACATCAAACACCCCATTGCACTAGCATATGGGACCTTTGACATGTCATGAACTTCATCATCTGTCTTCGGGCACTGAGCGGTAGACAATCTGAAATGATTCGCCAAATATGTACTTACTGATTTTGCATAACTCATGCTGAACCTGTTTAACACCTTCTCAACATAGCTATTCTGAGATAGCCATAATCTCCTAGAAGCTCTGTCCCTGCGAATCTCCATCCCAAAAATCTTCTTGGCCGCACTCAAATCCTTCATGTCAAATTCTCTACTCAACAAAGTTTTCAACTTGTTGACCTCACTCATACTCTTGGCAGCAATCAACATATCATCCACATAAAGTAACAGAAAAATAAATGAATCATCATCAAGCCTTTTTACATAGACACAACAATCATACTCACANGTCCTTTCCTTTGGCTCAATATTGCATTTGCACAGGTCTCTCTCTTCCCCACCCCACGTGTGGGACATAAGCCCTCGTCTAACACAAAAACATCAAAAATATTGCAATAGTCTTAAGTCACATCTTCGTTCAAAAAAAATTCTTAAATCACATCAACTCATGCACTTTGTGACACAAAAATATCGCAATAGCCAAGTTGCATCAAAGCAAAAATGAGATAATAATTCTTCACACTAAGTCAAACAATNTGGCTGTACCATGTAAATCCGTTCCCCCAAGTCGCCATGAAGGAAAGCTGTCTTTACATCCATTTACTCCAACTGCATATCTGAATGTGCTACTAGTGCCAACACTGTCCTGATGGAAGTGTGTCTGACCACGGGGGAGAAGATCTCATCATAGTCAACCCCTTTTCTCTGTGAGTAACCCTTTGCTACTAGACGAGCCTTGAATTTTTCTCCCTCNCGTTCCTCCAAGTCGCCATGAAGGAAAGCTGTCTTTACATCCATCTGCTCCAACTGCATATCTGAATGTGCTACTAGTGCCAACACTGTCCTGATGGAAGTGTGTCTGACCACGGGGGAGAAGATCTCATCATAGTCAACCCCTTTTCTCTATGAGTAACCCTTTGCTACTAGACGAACCTTGAATTTTTTCCCTTCCTTTTCTGATATTGCTTCTTTCTTCTTATACACTCATTTGCACCCTATTGCTCTNTAAATTTTTTCCCTTCCTTTTCTGATATTGCTTCTTTCTTCTTATACACCCATTTGCACCCTATTGCTCTCTTTCCCTCGGGAAGCTCCACTAACTTCCACGTCTGGTTCTTATGCAGAGACTCCATCTCCTCCACCATAGCACTCATCCATCTACTTTTNTCCCTCGGGAAGCTCCACCAACTTCCACGTCTGGTTCTTATGCAGAGACTCCATCTCCTCCACCATAGCACCCATCCATCTACTTTTCTCTTGGCTTTGTACTGCCTCCTGAAAAGTTGTAGGATCCCCGCTACTAGTAATAAGCGCATAAGAAACCAAATCTTCAAAACCATACCTGGTAGGTGGCTTGATATTGCGTTTGGGCCTGTCTGTGGCTATACTATGATGNCTCCACCATAGCACTCATCCATCTACTTTTCTCTTGGATTTTTACTGCCTCCTGAAAAGTTGTAGGATCCCCGCTACTAGTAATAAGCGCATAAGAAACCAAATCTTCAAAATCATACCTGGTAGGCAGCTTGATATTACGTTTGGGCCTATCTGTGGCTATACTATGATGTTGCTGATCACCTGAGATAGAACGCTCTACATGCTGAGCATCCTCTTCTCTACCATGATTCTCTAGCTCCACCTGCACCACATGNCATGAAGGTATGTTAAACTAACTATGATACCATAAAATGTTCTGCAAACTATTGTAGCTACTTAATTCTCCCCAGACCAATTTTCTTGAGTACTCCAAAACCCATTGACACAAAAGCTTCTGGTAGTCCCATTGACAATCTTTCCTTATATTGTACCAAGCAAGAAAGCTCTATTATGATGTCAAAGTGAACCAATCAAACAACATTAATATTCCTAATGTCTAATCTTGGATGCTCCGTGACTCTTTTGAGAAATTTTCTAGAAAATGTAAGATACACGAGAAACTGTATCAATCTAATAAATGTAAACCAAAAAAAAGAAAAAGAAACAAAGAACATCAAGAGAACATTGACCCAGCCGTAGGGCAGTGGAAAAAGGTGAACCGTGGTGGTGGCTATCGTGGAAACATAATGAATTGTCACCAATGATGTGATAATGAATTCATTTAATATTACAATGTGACTTACCATTAAATACATTTTACTATCATTTCATTGGTGACAACTCATTATGTCCCTAAATTATGTCCCAATAGCATTAGTGTAAAATAATTTGGATAACCCAATTTTGCATGCTTGTACACCCTCCCCCAAGAATTTGAATACCTAATAAAGAAGTTAATTGCATTTGCATGCTTATACGC